TTATTATTATTCTGAGCTACTACAGCAATCAGTTTCCCTCTGGGATTAATAAAGTATTTTTGAATTGAATTGAATGGTGCCTAATTAGCCAGCTAGCAGTGGATTAGAGGCGTTAGACTGACTCATAAGGTAGGGTTGGGGAAGCATCATGGTAAGGGTGGGCCAAGACGTCAACCATTTCAATAAGTCCTCTTCCATGTAGAGCCTAATTTTCATCTTTCAAACAACGATCTTTCTGAAATGTTTCTATGTGGTCCTTTCCCATCTCAGTTTTCTGAGTTTTGTAACAAGTGTTGAATTTCCAGTTTTAATCTCTAAAAATACTCAGGTGTGTATTTGGAGGATCACAGGGTTAGGGTTAGCCTAACCCTAAACATGCAAAGCCTTCCAGTAACGACGCTGAAACAGGAGAATTATTCAAACAGGTTGGAGTAATAAATAAAGACAAGAGTCATGTGCAAGTCGGAACAAGCTGAGCCACCTGTGGTGCAGGTGAGATTCACATCAGGACATGCAACAGAAAGATTAAACCTCCCCCCTTGGCTTCATGTCAGTTTTTAAAAAGCTGCAGCTCTGTGTTTCCACTCAGAGCTTTCCAGCACTCCGATTGGCTGACGTCACGGGTGTGCACACCTGTGACTGAGCTGATGAGCTGCTTATGATAAAGTGATCTGACGTGACACAGCAGCTCATTATATCTGCAGGACTATAATTTGACTCATAAATTAGTTCTGTAGGTTTATTATTCTTTTACAGACATGTAGCGGCAGTGGCTGATCAGCCAATCAGACGCTTCGGTTCATCCCCTGAAGGGCGAACATATCAACCACTTAGAAAAGCCTGGAAGAGACATGAAAGAGTGTGTTCACGCTGCGATATGCCAAAGTTCAGATTATAGCTTTTATACACACACACACACACACACTCACACACGCACGCACACACACACACACACACACACACACACACGCTTCAGTCTGTAGCTTGTAAATGATTTTTTAAATGTAGAGGATGCCCTGTCTGAGGTATACCCGGTGAATTTAGTCCCAGAACTAAAAGTCTAACTAGCAAAAGTCTCTTTATTTCACACAGCCAGTCGTTTATTATAAAACAGATTTAAATGTTCTGATGATTGTGGGTTTGCCACATCGGAGCGTTGAGCTGCTGCTCCTCGTCTCAGATACACACCTTAGAAGGTTTTCCTTCTGCACAAACTCACCAGCACGTGTCTGAGCAGCAGAACGCATCGGTCAGACCTGATGTTGTAACATGGCGTGTCTGTTGGTTTAGCCTGGACAGACTTTAATGAAACTCAGAAATCAGCGTGCGAACGTTTACACTTGATTCATGTTTGGAGTCAACCTGATTAAAGATCATAGACGTCACTTATATTTTTGTTCAGCGTCATCTCCTCCCACCAGGAAGTGAAGGCTCTTTTAAATGGGTCTTATCTCCTCCATCATCACTCCTCTGTGTGCATTCTGTGTTTGAGTTTCTGTCTCACAGGTCATAAAAGCTTACCGGTTAAATACGGAGCTAAACGTTGTGTTTGAGGTTCTGAATCTCCTCTTACGTGGCGTTCCTCAGGGAATCTGCAACAGGGTCCCAGAATCCTCCTCATTCATCAAGGCAGTGATGATAAGAAACGTCTCTTAAAATGGGACTTTTTTCATTTAGTGGTTTCCAGTAAAACTCTTTTAAATACAAACTAATGCAGAAGAAAACTCTTAAGAGTAAAATTTTTTTTCAATTCAATTCAATTCAAGTTTATTTATATAGCGCCAAATCACGACAAGAGTCGTCTCAAGGCACTTCACATAATAAACATTCCAATTCAGGTCAGTTCATTAAGCCAATCAGAAATAATGTTTCCTATATAAGGAACCCAGCAAATTGCATCAAGTCACTGACTAGTGTCAGTGACTATACAGCAATCCTCATACTAAGCAAGCATGCAGCGACAGTGGAGAGGAAAACTCCCTTTTAACAGGAAGAAACCTCCAGAGAATCCTGGCTCAGTATAAGCAGCCATCCTCCACAACTCACTGGGGATCGAGAAGACAGAGCAGGCAGACACACACACATACACACACACACACACACGCACGCACGCACGCACACACACACACACACACGGACAAGTAATGTCTTAGTAAATATTCTATTTGGTGAGAGATAAACTTTATTGTATTCATCCTAGTGGATCTATAATTAAACGGGCAAACTAGTAGTAGCACATCCAACGTCAATGAAAGCAAAAAGTTATTATCAGGAGAGAGAGAATGTTTTAGTGGTTAGCAGCAGTGTGCTAGTCGATGGCCTCCTCCATGAGGCCACCACAGCTCAGCAGAACGTCATTGTAGCTTCTTCTGGGGAGAAAAACACTTACAGAGAAAATAAAGTTAACAGCTGAAATTGCAAAAAATAGTACAGTTAAAGAGCAGACTGTAGAAGAAAGCAGTAGAGTGTGGAAAGTGGTCAGTGTGTCCTCCAGCAGTCTAAGCCTATAGCAGCATAACTACAGAGATAACTCTGGATAACCTATCCTATTTAGATGGAGGCATGTTGGAGTCAGGGCAAGGGAGAGCCGTCTTTACCGACTGTATACTCCACCTCCCTCTACTCCCCCACTTGTCCAGATTTAGGCTAACATCAGATTTTAACTATAGGCCCTATCAAATAAAAATGTTTTAAGCCTATTCTTAAAAGTAGACAAAGTGTCTGCCTCACGGACTAAAGCTGGGAGCTGGTTCCACAGGAGAGGAGCCTGATAAATAAAAGATCTGCCTCCCATCCTAATTTTAGATATTCTTGGAACCACCAGTAGACCTGCAGTCTGAGAGCGAAGTGCTCGGTTAGGAACATATGGAACAATCAGATCACTGATGTATGATGGAGCTTGATTATTAAGAGCTTTATATGTGAGAAGAAGGATCTTAAAATCTATTCTGAATTTAACAGGTAGCCAATGTAGGGAAGCTAAGACAGGAGAGATATGATCTCTCTTTTTAATTCTCATCAGAACTCTAGCTGCAGCATTTTGGACAAGCTGAAGACTTTTAACTACATTCATTTTTACTGTATGTCTTACATACATTTTACTCCGCAATCTCAAACTTCAGTTATTTTTTATACGAACTGTTGTTTTCTGCACCTGCTGATTGTGTCGTGCCTCTCTGTGAATCGGCTTCAGTTCCTTTCTGAGACATCTAACTTCAGGCTTTTAAAACCTCTCTGTGCTTTAATCAGCCTGCTGGTGATACGTTTTATGTCTGTATTTTACTTCTAGAAACTTCAGATCTACGGGTTCCTGCAGAACCGGTGTTTTTCATAACCATAGGTGTCCAAGTCCACTTCTTTGTGCATTGTAATGCTAGGAATAGAAAAAAGATGCTTTTGTGACCATTTTAACATGAATGGCAATCTTCTCAGTTAAACCAGGATTATACTGTTGGATCGGTTCTGTTAGAACCTCATTGTGACTCACGGTTGAACTTCATGAGCTCCTTCGTTTCTGTTTTTTTCCACATTCTCTTTATTGAGTCAGTTTATGTGTTGGAATTTCCTGAAGCTGCATCGTGTTTATTGTTTGTGTCATTTAAACTTCAGTTTGACAGAAAAACCTGTTCCAGTTCAGTTGGCTCGGGTCCAAAAGCATCGGACAGAACGAGAGATGGAAAATGGAACTCTCAGAAACCCAAAGAATCGGTGAAACCCTTAGAACACCTGTCCTGGTCCTTTATGAATCTGATCTCAGACTTGAAATGATTACCAGAACATGTGATTCATAACCGTTACTGGGCCTTGTCCAGAAGGCTTTTAAAGGCACCTTTAATCACCCTGGAAGACTAGTTCTTCCACACAACCAGCCTGCAGGAAATATTGGGTCATGCAGATTTTACAAGTTCTAATGAATTCCTGCCAGAGTTCAAAGATTAAATGGAAGAGTAGATTAAATGTAACCTGGCTAGCTGTTTTGGATTTGTTAACATCGCATTTAGGAGCTCATCACTTTATCTCATTTGCTAAAGACTTTTATTTTGATAGTTTCGTATCAGTTTCCACTTCCTCCTTTCATCTTCATTTTTGCATCTTAGCAGCAAAATTTTTTTTGTTTACATTCATGTCAGTCTTCTAATGGATGGTGTGTGTGTGGGGGGGGGGGTGGGGGGGGGGGGGTGGGGGGTCAGTATTAAATGCTTAACAGATATTTTTAAGAACTCCTAAAAACTGTTTCATTTTGTGTTTGTGATTTCAGGGGAACTCATTTTGTTTCTACTCAGTGAAACAGTTACGATTAAAATAACAGTTACTATAAATAAAAACACAATATAAATAATGTTATTTAAAAACTGTTATAAACATCCTTTCTGGGCTGCAGCTCCAACAATATTCTCTTTAACCTTTTCCATCTCAGAGATGCTCTTTAACCTCATTTTGACAAAGTTTTCTGAAATACAACAAAAGCTCTAATCGGTCCTTGGCCAGAAGCTGATGTAAAAACAAAATAAAAAAACACAATTTACAGACAAACCATGAATCTGCAGCCACTCAGTTATTTATTTATCATCTTTATTTAATTGTGGATCACAATGCATTTTGTTCCGTTGATAAAATAACATGAGGGCGTTTAAATATAAAAATCCCAGATGTACGATGTTTACCTGGGGTTTTAGGTGTAATCTGATTACCAGAAAAAACACAAAATTAGCAGCTTATTCTGTCTAAAAGCTTTATATCTGACAGATGTTCTGTTGGGTTGGATTCACAGAAGCTTTGGGGATTTGCTACATTTCCTTTATATTTTGGTTTATTTCTTAGTTTTTATGTGAAATAAGTTTAAACTCATTTGTGTGCTTTCAGTGTAGCCTGCATCATAAACATCAGTTACTTTTATGGAAATGCTTGTTGAAGTTGCTCTGCTGGTTCTGTCTTTGGCTGTAGTCCTGAGGACGTGTTCAGGTCTAACTCTTGACCCGTGTGTCTCGTGTGTTTTCCAGGTGGTGGCCATCGTCATGGACCTCCTGACCGACCAGCAGATCCTCCAAGACCTGCTGGATGCCTCGTCGCGCCGCGGAGTGGCTGTCTACGTTGTGCTAGAGGCCCGGGGAATTCCTCACTTCCTGGATATGTGCTCCCGGCTGCAGATTAACGGCATGCATCTGCGGGTGAGCAAACATGACAGAACGCTTCAGGAGGGAGGAGGCTCTCTGCAAACAAAGAACAGGCAAACACGGAAAAAACGGCTTCTAGAACAAGTCCTCTTTGTTGTTTCCCGTTTTAAACAGCAGGAGATTCTTAAAGTCTAATCCAGTTATAACACGACCTGTTGATCATGATGGTTTGGAAAAGGTTTTCCAGTCTGCTCCAGTGTTAGTGAAACTTTACCATGAAAACCAGAGAAGCTCCAGTTTGCTCCTTCTCGGCTTCACTCAGAAACATAATCAGGTTTTTCTCTTTTACTGATGATTCTTTAGCAAAACAATAAAAATATCCCTATTTCAATTTTTCACGGGGTGCAGAAAGACAATAATCTACTTGGTAACTAATTTTTTCATGACCCACTTTGCAGGTTTTAGTGAAAATCTTTTCTAGTAAAGCCCGGTTAAACCTCAGCCTAGTCTTCGTACTTTAAACCATGTAGTAAAAGTTTCCGGTGCAGTCTGTGTAAACGTGAATGATTAAAATACTGCATAAACTAACATAACCACAGAGCTATGCTGCATTCGTCTCTGAAGGCTGGTGTTTCCAGATGTAGGTTTAATTTGAAATCTTTAGAAATGAGGGTAAATATTTCCTTTATTAAATAAAGATCATGCAGGATTGTACAACTGAAAGATGAGACCTTCCCAAAGATCAGCTCTGAGTGTGAAAGGTTTCTCGGAGGTGGAGGAACGCAGCCGATGAGGAAGCAGCAGCTCTCTGAGCCGCTGTCATCCTATCTCACCGGGACACAATAGCCGTCCTCATCTTCTGGAAGCAAACCGCTTCTCTGTGGTCCGACTCACTGCTCTCGGCGGTGTCGGTTACACCCTGAAAGGCCTCGTCAGAGCTCTGGGCTCTGTTACTCTTACTTCTTACAAACCAACATTCATAGCTCCTGAGAATAGACCCAGAGAGAGTAACCTAACGCGACACCTCCTCTGCGGTTCTCCACCCAGTTTGTCCACACGAGCAGCGAAAGGCCTCGCCCTCTTGTTTTGTCAGCTCAGTGTGACTCGGCGGCCTGTTGTTCCTGCAGCATTTACTTAGGATGACTGGAGCGATGTTAAACCATTTGAATTGTGTAAATAAATGGGCATTTCTTCCAGAACCTGCGTGTGCGGACGGTGAGAGGTGCCGGGCTCGCCCTCTCCTTTGGAAAGCTGCCTGGTTCCATGTGCTCCAAATACATGCTGGTGGATGGAGAAAAGGTCATGTTCGGGTCCTACAGGTGACTATTATGGCATCAGACCCGTGTCACAACCCGTGCACGCGGATTGGGTCCACATCGCGAGTGTGAACGGGACTCGCGAGTGAAAATATACATAGCGAGAGGTCATTTGTGCACTGAGAGGGAGCAAACTGTGTCTGTGAGCGCACAAGGATGTGCACAAGTGACAAACCTGCGTGCGCGCGTTGCCAACGAGCACACGGCAGAGGAAAACGTGCGCGCTCGGCAGCCTCTGCGTGCTCGGCAGCCTCTGTGCGCGCTCGGTTTCTGACTCCGCTCGCTCGGCTGTGAAGGGGTTTTGGCACTCTGGAGGCGTGGCCTGTGGCAGATCTTCTCTGTCCTCTGATTGGTTAGTTTACCCCGCACTTTACCCTTTACCTCATTGGCCCATTGGCTTCCTGTCGGAGTAACCAAAGTAAGGATTTACTAAAGCGAGTTAGTGAACAGAAAATGGCCAGTGAGGACTCTCCACCACACAGGAGAGACCCAGTGAAAGCAGAAAAACAGTAGGCTTTGTAGGCTGCACCACACCCTGAGCCCAGGTGCCTCCAAGGCTGCTTAACGAGCTGCCTACAACAGAAGAAAAACACAATTAAACACAAATGAAAACCCAATGAGACGGTGGGGGCATCACAACACGTTCAGGACTTGAGATGGCCATTTTCTGTTCACTAACTTGCTTTAGTAAATCCTTACTTTTGTTAAATAAATCAGTTGTTGAACCCCCACTCCTCTGTTTGGTCTCCTTTCTTATTACAGCCCACCACTTCCAGTCTGGGTTGTAACAATCTGCAGACAGATTTCTGAGTATCTCCTCCTTTGGTACACAGATCCTCACTGAGCCATGTACTGTGAACAAATAGTTTCTCCATGATATTATCCAGCAAGGTCCCGTTTTTGTCAAAACAAGGGTGAGGTAATGAAAAAATTGAAATATTTCATTAAATTAACATTTAAATTATTTATATGCATCATTAAAATAAAAAAAACATGTTTTGAAATATATAAAGTGCACCAAACTTGACTCAGTCCATTCAACAATTCTAATGGACAATTATGTAACTCATCAATTAATTATTTGAAAGGAGAATTTCTCTCTCTCTCTCTCTCTCTCTCTCTCTCTCTCTCTCTCTCTCTCTCTCTCTCTCTCTCTCTCTCTCTCTGTGGAAGCCCCACTCTAAGGGAGTTTGCAGTGTATTAGTGAGTCATATATTGTACAACCACAGTCATAAAGTTTTCAATTAGTAGTTTTATTTCAGTATGTATTTTTCCAGTATCACAAAAAATATAATTTTATATGGTTAAAACCATCTAGCTTATGTGCACTTTTTAAAACACTGCCCAGCAAACATTCGGACGTTTAATGACAGTTGAACAGTCACAACTGTAAAATAATATCACAGGAATTAGGAAAAAATAACACAACACCTACTCTATTTTCCTTGCCTGGACTCGAACCTGGATCCTCCGGGGGGAGAGTCACCCGCTCTCCCAGCTGAGCTATGACAACTACTACTGAATATCAGAGTTTTTTATATAGATATAGCTCTCATCATTTTGGTCCGACAGGAAGCCAATGGGCCAATGAGGTAGAGGGTAAGTGCGGGGTAAACTAACCAATCAGAGGACAGAGAAGATCTGCCACAGGCCACGCCTCCAGAGTGCCAAAACCCCTTCACAGCCGAGTGAGCGGAGTCAGAAACCGAGCGCGCACAGAGGCTGCCGAGCACGCACGTTTTCCTCTACCGTGTGCTCGTTGGCAACGCGCGCACGTAGGTTTGTCACTTGTGCACATCCTTGTGTGCTCACAGACACAGTTTGCTCCCTCTCAGTGCACAAATGACCTCTCGCCATGTATATTTTCACTTGCGAGTCCCGTTCACACGAGCGATGTGGACCCAATCCGCGTACACAGGTTGTGGCACGGGTCTGACGCCATAGACTATCCAGCTGGTCCGAGGGCCCTCAGCGGGGTCCTAAAACTGTTTTCTTGTCAAAGAAGTAAAGATAATTTAAAATGAATGAGTCATTTAAGTGTTTAATGCAACAAAATAAACAGTGACCTAATAAAACATTTAAATTAAAGCTTAAAAGATGGTGACATGAATCATCCTAAGATGATTTTGAAATATTTGTTATGAGTGAAATAAGAAAGATAATATAAAAAGATCCGGGCGTAATGTCAGCCATTACAAAACACTTTGGTATAATTGCATAAAAATGTTTCTGCTTCAGCGTCCAGATGTTTTGAATACTTCAGCTTCATATCTTTATCCGGCTTTGTGTTGGATTCAATTCATCCTCAAAAAGTGAAGTTTAAGTGCTGATCATTGTTTACCAAGTCCTCATTCATGCAAAGACAAGTCCTATGCTTTGAATGTTGAGTCCTAAACAAGTAACTTGGCCAAGTTTGTAATATAATTGTAAAGTAATAAGACTTAAATAAATCCATTATTCTTTCTTAAACAGTTTTTATTTGACAAACGAACCCTGGAGGATGTGGTTCCTGCATTCATAAAAGGATGAGTGGCACCTGCCCAGACTGCGACTAAAGTGTGTGGGATTCCTTAAGAGTGTACGGAGATTTAGGGAGGAGCCGAAGGCAAACATTAAGGAGAGCTGTAGGCAAACAGCACACAGAGATCCAAGTGGTCCAAACGGACCCGATTCAGGTCAAAAGGACAGAATCCAGAAGCATGTTTTCTGAGACCACATTTGATCTCATTCAGTCAAAGTTGAGTGAAGATATGAGTCTGAAATTATTCCCAACGTCTGTTTGCTGGAGCAGGAAAGTTTTCATGTTGTTTTTGGAACAGCTGATAAAAGAAGGGAGAAAGAAACATAATAATGTTTTATATAACGCTTCTCAAGATGAAAATCACGAGGCGCTTCACAAGAACACCAGAAAATATCATAAAAAGAGAATTAAATAAAAGACTTGACGTTGTTTTTGTGAATCCCGCTGTAACAAACACAGGAAGGGTTAGCAGCTGAAGGATTTGCTGTGGCGTGATAAACAGGAAACGACTGGAGTTCCTATAAAGTTTGCTTCTTGTTAACGCGTCAACATCTGGAGGATGAACCTGCTGTTGTTGATCAGCCGGATGAAAAAATGCTACGAGAACTTTAAACATTTTCTCACCTGTTAATAATGATAATCCTCATCATCAGCTTTAGTCCGGTGTTCTTGACCCACGCAGTCGGGTTGGAGATGAAACCTCCTAAACAAACCAGGCTTCGCAGGAGTTTAACGAAGCCCACGCCAGACTGAAACCCGACCAAGTGATGAGGACTGAAACGTAAAAAGGAACTTTGCCAGTTTTTGAAACTTTTGATTTCAACATTTTCTATTTGTTTTCTGGACACAACAAAAAGAGCTTGTAGTTTCAGTCATTTTCATTTTTGTTTATATTTAAAAACAGTTGTTCGATTTGTGTTGCTGTCCGACCCAACACGGCTAACTTTACAGACGGAGGCAGAAAGAGTCCAAACCGGAACTGCTCCCATCCCATCAGCGGTCATCAGCTCAAATCCAAACAGGTTCAGATGATTTTCTTGGTCTGGTTCTGATCAGGAAACTCTGACCAGAAGTTTTCTGTCCCTGCAGAGCGGATGCTCGCTATGTGGTTTAACATCCACATCTTCTAACGCTGGTTTGTAAATATTTATTTGCCATAAGGCAGAGTTAGTAATGTCCTTCTTTAATGCCTTTTTAACACAAACAAACAAAACTCGTGTTTCTTTTTTACTGTCACAGCTGGTAATGTTTAAACTTGTATGTGGATTCATTGTTTTGAATTTAAACTCTACTTGTAGCTCTAAATGATAACAAGAACTATTCAGTCTACAATGAAATGATCAGTGTCAACAGGATGTTGTCCATTTTGCAGCCATGCACTTATTTTACTATTATTTCTGAATGAGCTGCACTTCTGCCCTTCAGAAGCTACATTCAGGTGTTTGCTGGGTTTTAAAGTGTTGAAGCACAGAATGAGGGCAAAACACACGGTACCAGAAAATAGACCTGCTTTGTTTCCTTTACTCGGCCCGGATCAGTGTCTGCTGTGATAACGTGCACTAGCTCAAATGAATGATCCCATTCAGACATTTTTACACCAGCGTAATTGTAGTGTGGGTGGAAACTGTGTTTAGTGGCACCAGAGATTTGATTGAGTCTCCTGTTCTTTCCTGCAGCTTCACTTGGAGTTCTTCTCGTCTGGACCGGAACACGATCACGGTGATGTCTGGTCAGACTGTGGACTTCTTTGACAGCGACTTCAGGGAGTTGTACGCTGTGTCTGATCAGGTCGACCTCTATCGGGAGTTCAGCATCACCAAGCCGCCCCTTCCTACTCCAGTTCTGAAGCCAAAGGTGGAGCACATCCGGCCTTTGCCCGTCTCTATGTCCCGCTTCCAGGTATCAGTTGGGGATTCCAAACAAATAGACCTGAAGGTACCTGCACACAAGTACCACAATCCAAAGTATTCTCTGGTGTTTGGGAATAGTATGGGCCTGACGGGCTCCTTACAGGATCTTTCAACTCATAAGGACTCAATGCTGAATGGGATAAATGAGAGAAATGGCTTCCAGAACAGCTTTCTACATACCAACAAAGAGAAGGCGGAGCGGGTCTCCCCTTCAAGTCCAGTTTTTTCTGCAGAGCAGGAGGATGAGGAGGGGAAAGGAGGCCAGAAGAAGAACCAGGCAGGTGGCTTAAAGAGACAGCGCAGCTCCTTCAGGCACTTCCTGAAAGGCAGAGGAGCCAACCACAACACAGAAACTATAGAGGAGGGCGTGGCCACTCCTCAGAGCCCCACCCCCACTTGTAAAATGCCCGAGACCAAAGGCATTACAGGAACTGACCTGGAGGACTCGTTTGAGAAACCAGGACCACTGAAATCCAAACCCAGGAAACCGTCCAAGCTCCTTCAGAAAAGCGTCTCTCTGCAGACCATCAACCTGGGAGACGAGGATGGTACGTGGTCCAAAACCCTTATTATAACTGAGTTATAACTACAGATAGTTATAAATAGTTATGTAGATGTTTGAGGGGTCAGCATAAAAGGTAAATATATTTTAATTTATCACTTCAGTTTCAGGTTGACCTTTAGAAATGAGATTTTCACAAAAACACCTAATTTTGTGTGCAATTTAAATAAAAATCTATTTATTAAACATTTTATGAGAAAATAAATGAGTGATTAAAAACAAAACAATAAATAAATACTCAGAGATTTTGAATAAAAGTCAGGATCTGTTCAAAACCTAAAACTGAAAAAGGGATGCGTTTACAGTTAAATGATCTCCTTGATTATGTAAAATACATGATGATCAAAGATCACTGAAGGTGAATAAACTTTATGTGTGTACCACCTTTCACAGATAAAAGCACACAGTGCACAGGAGTGAGGCCTAAAACGTTTTATGGCCACGGATAATAACAGGAAGAACTTTTTCTGCTGTGAAGTCCTTATTTTTCATTTCTAAAATGAAAACATTAATAAAAGTAAAATAAATGAACCTAAATTAAATAGTTTTCTAAAGCTGTGATGCTTCATCATGAATTTGTTAAAGCCAAATAAGAGTTTTAAGTTTAAAGTGGAGGAGGTGTTAGCAAGGCCGGATTAACCATATGGGCAAGTGGGCAATTGCCCAGGCCCCACGGACTCTAAAGGGCCCAGGGCAGCAAGGGCACGAGCAAATTACTGTATCTGTAATCTCCCGCTTTATATTAAACTAGGGTGACCGTACGTCCTCTTTTCCCCGGACATGTCCACTTTTCACTCTCTGTCTGGGCGTCCGGACTCGGGGGGGGGGGGGGGGGGGGGGGGGGGTACTGATGAAAATGTCCGGCTTTTCATCCAGGAGCAGGGGTCGAATTATGGGGAGCTGGATATCCTACACATCCAGGGGAGCCGGAAAAAAGTTTTCTACCTATATTACATCATTTATGGACTCTTCTGAGCAGAGAGCACAGAGAGCGGCACAGCGCTGATCGTTGTTGCACAGCGCTCCAGGCTGCTGCTTCCAGCGCACGGTCCATTCTCAAAGTGGCGCAACCAAAAAACTATAATTAGCACACGATCGTTCATGTCCGCACATGTTCTCTATTTTCTGTCTTATTTGTGCCTGAAGCGCTCTGCTGCTGAGGAGCTCATCACCTGTGCTGCGGTGATTTCACCTCACTGAGACGCATTGAAACGCGCTCTCTGCTTTGCGGTCAGGAGATCCCTTTGATCTGCTCAGAAATAACTGATGAGGTGAAAAAGTAAGAATCCAGGCAGCAGATTTTCTGGAGAGTTTAGAGGAGATGCAGGAAGATGAGAGACAGACAGGACAGGAAATAGTCAAGTCAAGTCAACTTTATTTATATAGAACTTTATAACAGCATAAAAGCTGACCAAAGTGCTTAACAAGACAAAACGAACAGAGGTTCCCTAAAAATTCTAAAAACAAGATAAAAAGTTCATCACAAGGTAAAAACATGATAAAACAAACATATCAAACGGACATAAAAGCTACTAAAAACAGATGCATGCTCAAACTGAATTAAAAGCAACTGAGAACAGATGAGTCTTTAAAAGTGATTTAAAACCGGACAGTGATGAAACCATCCTAATCTGAATCGGGAGTGCATTCCACAACCTTGGAGCTGCTACTGAGAATGCTCTATCACCCCTGAGCTTTCCCTTTGTTCTCGGCACCTCCAGGAGAAACTGGTCGGCTGACCTCAGTGACCGAGACGGGGAGAAAGTTCCTAAAAGTTCACACAGATACTGCGGAGCAAGGCCATGTACAGCTCTAAAAGCCAATAATAAAAGAACCTTGTACTGGACCCTATAAACCACAGGCAGCCAGTGCAGCGAAGATAAAATTGGGGTAATGTGCTCCCTCTTTCTCGAACCCGTCAATAGGCGTGCTGCTGCATTTTGCACCATTTGAAGACGGGAGAGGTGAGACTGAGGAAGACCAAGGTACAGTGCGTTGCAATAGTCTAGAAGCGATGTAATTAACGCGTGAATCACCGTCTCAAAGTCATGACTTGAGAGCAGACGCTTAACCTTGGCGATCCTCCTTAACTGATAAAAACTGGCTTTGGTGACGGCACTGATTTGCTTTTCCAGAAGCAGATCACTGTCAAGCCGGACTCCCAGACTGGTCGCTACAGGTTTCAAAAACAGGGCTAGTGGACCAAGGTCAGCAGAACATGGCCCACTGGACACACTAGGACTAAAAAGCATGACCTCAGTCTTGTTAATATTAAAATGTAAAAAATTTGCAGACATCCAGGTTTTAACCTCATCGAGGCAGTTTAGAAGAGGATCCAAAGAATTGGGTAGGCCACGTCTAATGGGAATATAAACCTGGGTGTCGTCTGCATATAGATGAAAAGAACATCCATGTTTTGTAAAAATAGAACCCAGAGGTAGCAAATACAGAGACAGCAATAACGGACCCAGTACCGATCCTTGTGGGACCCCGCAAACTAGAGGTGAGGAAGATGACGTGAAGCCACCTAATGACACACAAAACAACCTCTCAGCCAAATAGGACTTAAACCAGTCCAAAGCAACTCCTCGAATCCCAACAGACTCTGCTAACCATGAAATCAGGAGACTGTGATCCACGGTGTCAAAGGCAGCAGACAAATCCAACTGTACCAGAACCACAAAATCACCAGAGTCAGTAGCTAAAAGAATGTCGTTTAAGACCCTGAGCAATGCAGTCTCTGTGCTACGTCCCTTCTTAAAACCTGACTGGAATTTTTCACAAATATCATTTGCATGCAAAAACTCCGTCAATTGCAAATACACCACTTTTTACAGAACCTTTGAAAGGAATGGAAGTTTTGAAATAGGACTGTAATTAGACACAGTAGAGGGGTCAAGACTGGGCTTCTTAAGTAGTGGCTGAACAACAGCATGCTTCCATAAATAAAAACAAGAAAACACAACAAAAAGTAAAATGTAGGTAGATTTATCTCCACTACACGTTTTTTCCTGTATAAAACAGTAAGTTACACACATGTAATATTTATACATCTGATACAATTCAGATCACCTTCAACACTCAGTCACACACCCAGGGCCGTTTCAAGACATATTGGGGGCCAAGGCTAAATTATTTCTTCCCCCCCCCCCCCCCCCCCACCCCCAATAGCTGGGCTCCCCAGAAGCCTCTGTGTAATTCCTACCCTCTCCAGGAGTATTAGTTATACAGTGTTTATAAAAGCCCCTCAGACATTACTGACATGTTCTAATATTATCAGATGAAAAACTAAATTATCACACATGCTGTCTCATCTGCTGCTTTTCTAAACTTGCTAAAAGTAACAAAACCATGTGAAAGCCACTATTTGTGGATTCTCTGAAAGTTTCCATGGAGTGTGGGACAACTTATTTTATCATTGATCCTATCGTCTAATCTCACAGCTGAAACAAGCATCCTTAATAATCTGTGCACAGGAAGCATACCGATGCTGTAGTAAAACAAAAGGTATAATAATTTATTATTAATAAAACCTTGTTGCAGCACTAAAGCAAAAAAATTGCAATAAATATGCTAAATATTTACATATGAATTGTTTTAGAGCCCTTTTATTGGCAGAATCTGATATTAATTTAGTTCTTACAAAAATGGGTCCCAGCGTGGTTTGTGTGGCGTTGCCATAGTGTGACGTCATAGGCACAGATCCCCTGTCCTCTTGTTTGGAAATGGAAATATGGTCACCCTATTAAACAAACTGTCCACCCGGGCTTTTGCGCTGCACAGAGACGCTTCGCTGCCTATGACTGAACGTCAGTTGAGAGTCAGTCTCATGCAGACTGACCAATGAAGAGAGGGCCTCAAGTTAAGATCCTCTCCTCATTGGTCAGTCCACACAAGGTGGGTCAAAGGTTACTCTGAGCGGGTTACGTGATGTCAGGCATTCAAGTATTGAGTATATTTACTGCATATTACAGTAAAATATTCTGTATGTGACCATATTATGGTGATCCTTGGGTCGTGATGATGGGGCCCTTGAATATTGTTGCCCAGGGTACAACGAAGTCTTAATCTGGCCCTGGGTGTTAGAGCCATACTTGCTGCTGCACGGCACTGCATGTAGAGTGTAGAGTGTTCCACTAGGGGGCGCAGTACATCAGACCAGATAGAGAGCTGGGTTTGTGGGAACAACCAAAACAAGCATGGCATCAATAAAAGAGCTCACTAACTGGTTAATTTTGAGATCACGACAGGAAAAAGTCAGCAGCAGTATCGTAGTTTCAAAGACCTCTAAACCGGAGACAGAGTCATCATGGTGAGTGTGTCTCACTCGTTTTGTCAACTCCACCTACTGGTTACTCATATATTGTGTATTGTTCAGACGTGCTGCATTAAATTCAGCGAACACACACAAAAGACACTTCAAATCGACACAAGTAACGCATGTCAGCCATTTTAAACACACAGTCGTGTCAGTAAACAGCAAGTATATCACAACCCTTTGAGTAGCAGGGCTAATTAGGTGCTTGATCTATAGATTTTTGTATGTTTTGAAAACATTAGTTTATTCTTATGTAGCCTGTTTACAACACACCATAAAGGACGTCATCAGAAACATGAACGCTAACCTAAAGCTACCGTCAGGCTGGTTGGCGTTCACCCTCAGAGACATCACAGATTCTTATTCTGCAGCCAGCCACTAGGGGGCATGCCACTCCTTTCAGCTTCTACTTCTGTGTGTCGCATTGATGTTTAGTTGTGTTTTTAACTCATTAACTGCCAATTTGCATTTTTTTTACTGTGTGGGCGTCGGACGAGCCCCCACACCGTGAGAACAAACATTTCAGCTCTAAAGCTGATCTTCATCCGCTTACGTCACACGTCACATGATCAGGAAGCAGAAAATCCATGTGTTAGGAGATCGTTTTGAGCCGCTGCTGTAAAAAAAAAGTGAGGCGCGAACCGGAAAAGCTTCTGCCGATCACAATTTGACAACGGATTACGAAAGAACGGATAATGCTAGAAACGGGCGGATTCTTCCTGATGTAAGAGGTGAGTCTCCGCTTTGTTTTGGTTGTTTTGGCGTCGACATCATCCTAGCACGCAACGTTCTGTGAGTCTAAAAAAAAACAGTAAAAACACTGAAAAACGCTGGCAGCGAAGGGCTTTTCTGATCAGGAAACGGCCGGCAGTGAATGAGTTAATGGTTGCAGCTAGACAACTATATAGATTAGTAGAGCTGTCTGGGTTTAGATAAAAAAATGAAGGTAGAAACTTTAGCTTTCACACTTTTCTTTTTTTTGTTTCAGGAGTAAGAAGTCGCCGGCGGCAATCAAAGAAAAACTGCATCCAGTCCTGAGATTACCACACAGAATCTCTCATGTTTACTCAAACAGCTGATTGTAACCTGCTGATGTCATTAATGAGTCAGCTGACCTTGAGCAGCAGTGTGTTTTTGTGAAAAAGCCGTATGTGGATCTAAACCTTGCAGCCAAACATTGTGACAGCTGAGATTTTACTGCCAATGTTTTCATTTTCTAGGTTTTGTATTAAATTATTTGACTGTTGACTGTTTTTCTACCTTATGTTATGAACCCAAGCAGCAGACAGGTGTGTTACATCATCACAGGCCTTTTAGTGTGGTTACTATGGGAACAGGAAAAGTGATCAGTTGTGTCCCTGAGTGTCGCCTTACAGAGGAGCTCTGAGTGTGTTTAATAGGCTGTGAATAATCGATGAGAAGTGTGTGTGTACTCACACACATACACACACGTGTTTGATGGAACAGAAACTGAAGAAATTACTTTTGTTTTTGGGATTAAAACTCAGATTAATGATATTGGACGAAAACAAGTGAGACTTTTACGAACATGTTGCAGGAACTGGTTCGTGAGACGCGTTTGTTTCTAATCTGCTTGTTTTTATTTTTGTTTCTGTGACAAAAGGCATCTACATCCTCGAGAGTGGTAATTTAATTAATTGAGTGTTAATTGAACTGAATGTCTTTAACACCTTAATGGGATTCTAACACTGAACTTAAACACCATTTCTGTAGAATCACATTTATTTACTCTGTCTGTTTGCATCAGTCTGAAGAATAAAAGGAAATAATTTTGTTTATTTAAATGTGTTTGCATAGAACTTTTTAAAATACCTTTCTCTGTCTTCTGGTTGCCTGTTTAAAAACACACATTTTGAATCATTTTTTAAGTATTTCTTTTAAAAGCAAAGTTGGTTATTTTTTAATTGTTTTTTTAGACAACAACAGGATGAAATCCCCACTTTGTGAACATTCAGACTGGGAATAATTCAATAAATAATCGTTTCTCTGTGGTTTTTTGAGTAAACATGACTGATACTCGCTGACATGGAAGAATAAACAAAAAGATTCAAAAGAAAGAGAGGAAGAAAAACAAAAACAAGGTCTGAGGTTTCATCTCAGCCCTGAATCTGATTTCCAGTCAGTTTAACAGCAACCCACACCTTCAGGAATACCTTCAGGAATACCAGCAGGGAGACCAGCAGAGAGGATCCAGGGAGTGGATGCGAGCTAGTTCACGTTAATCAGGATCTGGTTACAGTTTGAGAACCTTTTATTCAGGCATGTTTCAGTGTGAATGGACAAAAACACCTTGGGTGAGATTTCTAAGAAGATAAAGTCCAGTTTTCATTTTAACCCAACTAGAACCACCTGGATGAGTCGGGAAATTTAAACGTTTCCCTTTTCTTCTCAAGTGGCCAAAGCAGTTTTAGCATCTCAAATGTGTTTGCTTCAGATGATGACACCAAAGTGGAGATAAAGCCAAACAGAACATCATACAGAGCTGGTACCAGCTATCAGCACGGTGGTGGAGGCCTGATGGTTTGGGCTACAGGACCTTGTGAGTCCACCATGGCATGAACTCATCACACCAAATAATTCTAATGTGAGACCATCTGACCGCTGAGCTGAACAGGTCATGAAACGGAACCATCATCTAGAGCTCAGCAGCAGATCTGCTGCAGATATGAAGATGATGCAGTGGTCAAGATGGACAGAACCTTCAGAGAGTTGAACAGAATCAAATGTCTGTAAACACAAAGATCAGAACTCCTCCAGAACCACCTGAGAGACCCACAATTTCTCATTCATCTGAGATAAACCAGAACTTTTTTATTTTCTTTTTGTTGTGGGACATAAAACTGTAATGTTTAGGAAAGATCTGCTCTGTTCTGCTCATAACCACATTTTGGAGACGCTTTAATCAGATCATCTTACTCCTTCAGCTAAAAAAGCAAAATCTACTGTAATAAACAACCTAAATATCAAAGACTGAACCTTTTTTAGGATTTGAAGTAAGTGCTTCCTGTTCATGGCTGTGTGTCACCAGGGACACGTGTAGAGAATGTGTCGCAATAAGCAGATTCGTGTGACTGCTGCGGTGAGTTTTATGAGCTGCTAGTGACGGGAAGCTGTTTGTGAAACAGATCTGAACATCAAATCTGTCAGCCTGCAGAGAGCTTTGTGATCAGTCAGGGCTGTGGCAAGATGGCGCCAGTGTTTTTGAACACCGGCCGTCCACCTCGCGGTCTCCTATTGTTTTTGGTGATATTTCTGAACTTTCTTTCCCCCATAATTGTATGATCAGTATGATCGCTCCACTCTTTTGGACATACGGTTGGCAATGTGCCTTTCTCCACCTGCCATGAAGGATTTCCATCATACCTCTTGCCCGCTGCTCCCTGGAACTCCTACCTGTGTCGGATGCCGTGTCGCTTCCGTGGTTGGAAGTGTCGCTGTCGAGCCGGGCGACTGGTAAAGCTTAGAGGTTTTCTGGCCTGCTCACCTGCCTCCTTCAGGATTTCTGTCGGCGTGGGGCCCAGTCTGTGTTACTCTTGGCGATCCCTGGATCCGGCGTTCTGAGAAAACGTCCTACTTTGGCAAAACGTCCTACCCGTGGGATAATTTTACGGTGTTTTACATGACACAAACCCTAACCATAACTATAGCCCTAACCCAAAAAAACAAGCATCAACGTCAATAAAAAGTACTAACACTTACTACTTATCTATTTTCCTGCAAATATGACAACGGAGTAGCATTCCCTTTTTGTGTTGTGCGCATGCGCGTACATGCTCAGGAACAACAGGTAGGACGGTTTACGGGGTAGGAGAAATTCCCAGAACACCGGCAGTTCCATGTCTGATCCCGTTGGAGTTGCCCGGGGATCTGACGGGCCCACAGCTCCGCTCTGTGCCAATGGTGCTGCGCCGTCGTGGAATCTGCCCAGCAAACCTTCTCCTAGTGCCGACGTCAGCGGCAGTCTGCTCCACGGCTCTGAA